TAATCATTACTTATATATTTTGACATTAAAAATAAATTTTGAAAAGATCTTTTTGATTGCAAAAATATTTGATTTAATGTATTTGTTTCACTTTATTTATTTATAATTATTAAAAAATTTATTTATTATAATAATTAAGATTTTTTTTTACCTGTACTTATAATAGTAGTATCAATTAGATTAAAAAATCTTAATACATTTTTATTTCTTTTGAGATAAGAGTAAAATTAAAATATTGTTAATATTTTATTAAAATAAAAAATAAAATAATTAAATCAGATAACCTATATTTAAAAATTGTGATAGTTAATTCAGACTATTGAAAAAGTAGTATTTTATCAATTTTAAAATAATTATCATTTTTTTACTTTTTATTTTTAAATAAATTACTCCATTTGCCTAAAAAGAATAAAAACTTTTTTATTTAAAATTTGTTTTAGATTAAATGTCCATTTTTCATATTGCAGAGAGAGATATTTTATTCATAATTTTTAATATAAAACTTACATTTAACTTAAAATAAACGGATAAAAAAATAAAATAACCTTCTTTTTATTTAGCATCCATGCCCTTTTTGTTATTTTATCTGACACGTGATTTTTCCGCTTACAAACTGTTTTTTTCAAACATAGAAGAGGGCTGGATTGTGCCTGTTACCCTAACTAGAGATTTTTCCAGCTATTGCAAGTTTGCTTACTATTATATTTGTGTCGTATATTTATAATATTATATAAAATTATAAATTTATAATTATAATATAATATTAAATTAATAAATTATGTGCATCTAGTATTCTCTGTTCGTTATCCAACAATGAGTTTGCCTTTCTTGAAAATGTCCTATTCTTATCATGTTTCCGTATCGTCCCATCTTCTTTCCCCAAAACCACATTAACGCCTTCTAAAGTCTCCAACAAAATCTTTTCTTCATCAAGATCCCTCCCAAACACTTTAGAGTTATATCATGTTATTTGAAATATTGCAAACTCAATAAGTACGTATGGTGAATAGAAGAATTAGTAAACATAGAAGGGACATTTCAATTTATCAAATTAAACATTAACATACAACTGTTGTAGAGATATGAGCATGTCTATAGAAGAAACAACACAAGCTCATGCTTGTTTTATTTGACAACTTACTATAATTAATTGAAACTATTTAAAAAAAAGTAATCATCATAACATTTTCTCATCCTTTTTTCTTCAATGCCAAATGAATGTCCCAAAAACTCTCAAATTCACCGCAAGCTTCCATATCAGAAAAATCTTCCAAACTTCCATTCTTCACCACTTGAGCTTTGCTGGGAAATACTGCAACCAAATTTCCCATATAGACTTTTAGAGGAAAAAAAAACAAAGGAAAAGAAAAGAATGACTGCCCAGATTAAAGAAATAAAAACAGTTATCTCTAGCTAGTCCACTTAGTACGTAATTAATTAATTACCTTTTCAATGAGAGAAAGATAGTAGGGCTTGACTTTTTCGACATCAATGAGAACTTTGCTCTTGCTGTATAGGTCATATTTGCTGCAAAATATTTCATAAATTAAAGTAATACAATGGTTAGTGCTTGATATATAAATATATGGTAGATTTACAATCTGAATTGGCGAAAAAAATGTTAGTCGGGTTGGAAATAACCAAAATGCAATTGGTAAATCCACGTGAACCTCATTATTAATAACATACATTTTGATCATTTTCAATAAAAAAAAATTTAAGAATTCACATTTTTATCAGTCAGTTTGAAAGCATTGATATAAGGCAAACCAAAATGAAAGGGACATTAGAGAATAATACTTGAATATCTTGAGCCACTTCAGATCCTCCTTATCCTGATCATTGAGAAGATGCATGTAGGCTCCTTCCTTATGCAAGGCTGCAATGTAAATAGAATAGTTTTGGTTAGGGTATCAATCGGACATACTATACATTTTCAAGAAAATTAATGAATTTATAAAGCTTACGATAGAAGGAGTGATATCGGATGATGAACAGCCCTGCTGAAGGTAAAGTTGTTCCATTTTCTTTTGCAACCTACAGATTGTTGATCAAGTGATATTTTCAGCTTAAGATTTGTCTCATTTGATTACATTATGAACAATTAAGATTAATGTAATGTTTTGGAGCAACAATTACCAGGTACATATAGTCATCGTGTCCCCATGATATCATCACATTATCAAGTCCACATCCTTCAGTGTAAATTCCATTTTTTGTATTGTATGCTGGATTATTGAAATCAGGATTTTCCTTGAAATACTGAATTTAAAAAAAAAATAATTGCATTTTACTTTTAGTTGATTGTATGCAATCGTATTATAATTTTGGTTTAATCACGCATCACAAATTCTTGAGGGAAAAAAGACCTTATGGTGAATGTTAGCCTCATCAAAAGCACATCCAAGAGGGAATATGTCACCTGCAACATTAATAATATTTACCACTCAATTGAAATTTACTCAATGTTGAAAATAATAATAGTAATAATAAAAAAATCTCACCAACTACAGCCCATTGTGGAAGCCCTCCAAGTTGAGGCAGAAGAAGAACCTTTCCAAGATCTGAAACCCACATGATCGTATTTGTTTTATTTTACTACTTATTATAAATTAATGAAACTTTTTGAACAAAAGTACATTACAATAACAATTTCTTCGAAAACCACCAAAACAAATTCATTAATTAATCAATTAACTAATTAATTAATTTCCTTTATATATTTATTTTTTATTCATTTTTATGATTTTCTAGAAAGGGTATGAATGGAATAACAGTAAGATCAATATTATCTGTGAAGACCATGACTCTTTGGTGGGGGTATATGCTGATGCTCCATGGCTTGATTTAGTCAAAGCCTAGCTAGTTTTAATTAGATAAGAATTAATGTTGAATTTTTTTAAATAACATGAGTGTTTAAGTCTAATAATAATACTTGCCAACAGTTCTATCCACAAAAATTGAGTAAAGTTTTAACTAGTGGGGTTTAGACTTTAGATTGTCTCCTTTTATCATTATCAAAAGAAAAAAAATTGAATTGAATTGGGAATATACCATGAATAAGGGCAGTCAAGTGTAGCCAGTCTTCATTGGGGTAATCTTTCCTGATGGCTTCAGCAGATTGCAGCAAATGCTGAATTTGAGGCTCATCCAAATCAGGATCACTGTCATCCACCACCTCATTCAGGAGCTCACAACATTCCCATATGCTCATTTCCATCCTGTTCAATTTCGAGTACTCTTCTCTCATCCTTTTCACCTACCAATTCACATTGAACATTTGAACTTTAAACTCACATAGTAATCAAATCAGTAACAATGATGTTGAGCACTGTTTGCAAAAATTTTGCTTACGAAGTCATATGTTTGGTTAATGTGTTGCGTTCGGTAGAATTCCTCCACGATCTTTTGCCTTCCACCTACATTGTAATCCCTGCAAAAATTTTCCATTTAAGATTTTCCTTTGCAAGAAAACCAAACACAACCCAATTCAGAAAGTAGAGATTGAGATTTAATCGGACCTAAAAGTGTGGCCGTAAGAATTGATTTCTGGGGCTACAAATCCATCATTTGACACAGATTTTGGCACCGAGAATCCACCGTCCAAGACTAGCTCCTTTGTTTCCTCCACATGCTTCTGCTCCTCTGCTTGTGATCCTGTTAAAATTAACAAAAACATGAACACAAATGTTTATCGGCGTGGTAAAATATCAAATAGGGAGTCAGCAAAGAAAAACAAAATCCTTTAAGAATATATTACTAATTCACTGGAGACTTTAATTTATAGGCATTGGAGGGAATCCTAAAAAATTGAAAAAAGAACTAAGAAAATTGATGCAAGGAAAGCAATGGAAAGCACATACCAAGATCAGCAGGATTCTCAATGAGGACAGTCATTTTCACAGCAATAAAATGGGAGAGAAACAGAGGAGACTATGGATGGATTGGGTTTGGATTGTTGATACCATGAGGGGAATTTATGGTATCCAATAAAAGTCCTTCCTCCAAAATAAAAATGATTGTTGTCCTTAACTGAAAATCCAACTTTCCTATTCTTTCCACTTTGCTTATTTAACAACTAGATATACCTAATCATTGCCACATCATTGCCACCTCCAAAGTAAAAAGGATTATCCTAATAGTTATCATAAAAAAAATGAAAAATGATTTAAAGACAACTTTTTTTTATCATTCTTTGTACAACCTTTCGCATTATTTAAATGATTAGTTCTTCTTATTCATTTAAAATCAGTAATATGAGTGCATCCACTTATTTAATTATATGTAAAAATTATATAAAAAAATTATGTAAAAAAGTTATTTCTATATCACTACCTTAAAAAAATAAAATTATAAAGAAAAATTATTTTATAGGTTGTCTTTTTAAATTTTTTTAAGAATATGTTTAAAAACTCATTTTCTAATTAATATTTTTAAAAACTAATCATTAGATTAAAATTTCATTTATATAAATTATGTATACTAATTTTCAAATTGTTTTAATAGATTTAACCACTTCATTAATTATAGAAAATTTAATACCATTGAATGATTATTAGTAAATATAGTTTTTTTAATCAAAGGATTATAAATGTTAAATTAACATGAAAATTGACATGTATGATTTATATAAATAGAATTTTTAATTTAACAATTAATTTTTGAAAATATTAATTAGAAGGTAAGTTTTGAGATAAATCCTTTAAAAAAAAAAAAAAAACCTTTAGGAGAACATCCTGGCATATACTATACTTTTATCCTAATATATAATTTTTGAAAATTTTTTTGAACTTCTAAAGAGTCTAATAATTTGTGAGAACATAAAGATATATGTTTGAATAAATTTATTACCGCAATACAGCAAGATTTACCACCAAGGTATATCTACAAGGTGCATATCACCTTTTTCTATAGGGCACGTTTGGGGTGGAAGACGAGATTGGAGAGGATAGGATTCAATGTATAGGATTGGATTAGACTAGACGGGATTATATTAAGTCAAAATCAGTTAATTATTGGATAAAGTTGAACCACATTTTGACTCAAATCTTTGATTAATTAAGTTGAGGCAACTGAAGAAAAATATGCTATGATGAGCTTAGCCTTGTGGTTTACAGTAGCTTGATGAAAAGGGCAAAAGCAATAGTCCTTAATAAGTTGTTCCTTAATGAGTTGGAAGGTAATTATAAGGAGGGGTATGCTTGTTTAATGGGGTGCTGAGATGAGCTAATGAGAAAAGATCCAGGGAACACTCTGGAAGTTAACTACAATTCATATTTTAACACCCCCTAATCCGGTTTTCAAAAGTATTTATCTGTGTTCAATTGCATGTAAAAAATGGGTGGATAGAAGGTTGTAGAAAATAATTGGCACTGACAGATGTTTTTTTTGAAAGGAATGTGTAAAGTATTGTTGACAGCCCAATGGTAGGGATAGAAATGACCAAATGTTTCCCATTGCATGTGCAGTTGCTAGCAGTGAGTCCAATAACTCACGGGGATGGTTTTTAAGGCTACTAAAAAATGACTTGAAACTTAGAGTATGGTGAGCGGTTGGTTGTCATGTCTGACCAAGCAACACCAAGTAATCTCTTTGGTCTTATTAGCGTCTCGTTTATATAAATATATAAAATAAGCTTTCTAACAATTCTCATTGATAATTGTTGCTTATTATTTCTTCTGTCAAATCTTATCTTCTCGAGCTTAATATAGAAATTGCGCGAGGCATCTGTATAGCAACTTGTCAAAGGAGTATATGGGGAAATAAAGAGAAGATTTTTTGGGCATCTGCAAAGTCTACAAGTATTGAGCATTTTGAGCTAAAAACTTGCAGAAGGTAGCTGAAAATTGCCCATAGGGTTTTGATGATATTTCAAAAATTTTTTTTTTTGAACAGAAAATTAAACTTTAATTAATAAAATGAGTACAAGGGGTACTCAGCCCATTATACAGTATTCAAGCACCTTTTACAAAATCAATCCTATCATTCCGACCTATCCCTTGGCACTCATCCTCCCTCCACAGTTATCTTTCATACATGCAATAGGGTTAATTAGCCAATCTGATAAAGTAAAGGCATACTTGTCTTTTCTTGTTTTAATCCATAAATAAGACCTCATTTGTATAAGCTCAAGTAGCTTCCCTAGATTGATCTCTTTGTCTTGGAATACCTTTTGGTTTCGAGCAACCCAAACAGTCCAAACAATCACACTCCAAATGCAGTCCCATCCTTCTCTAGTACATGGATCTTTATTCCATTCCCCAAAGTTTTCAAATGTCTTCCAGCAATCACCATTCAACGTTACCTTGGCCCCCCACCACTTAATACAAGCCTCCCACAGCTACCAGAAAATGTTGCATTTTAAGAATAGATGCGCAGAATCCTCTTCTTCTTCATCACACATATTGCACTTGCATTCTCCCATGTCTTTAATAATCCCTCTTCTTAACCAGTTCACCTTAGTTGGTATTCTATCTAACAATAGTTGCCAGTTGAATGCTGATATTTTGCTTGGTAGGATAGGATTCCATATTCTTTTGTAGATTGTAGTTCCATTTGATCCCCTTTGTTCCCTTATTAACAGTGAGTACACTGTTTTAGTTGAGTAATGGCCATCTTTGTGATGAACCCACTCCCATCTATCAAGGCATCCTTGGAATATCTTCACGTCCTCTATCATATTTTGCAGCTTCGTGACCTCCTCACCTTCCCACTTGAACAAATTTCTTCTCCATGATAGCTTCCATTCCCATGATCTGTTTCTTGTGTTGTCCGTTTGGTTGCATGTATTTTCCTTTCCTGTTGATACAAGATACAATCTAGGAAATTCATTAGCAAGACATCCCTCCCCACCCCAATTATCCCACCAAAATCTAACTGGATTTCCCTCTCCCAACTTTATTCTAAATCCCTCCATCAGCCATCCTACACTCTCCATATCCATAATATTGAGAGAACACACATCTCTCCACCATAATGATATTTCAAAGTTGGCAAGTAAACTATGGATTAAGACATACTCTGAAACTGATTGTAAATGTGATATTGCTAATAATAACATGTGCGAGACCTTTAACATTTGGATTTTGGATGCTAGGTGTTAGGTTGTCATTTCAATGTTGAAAGATACCAGACACACTGTCATAGTTAGAATGAAAATTAAACAAGCTTCTGTATCATCATAGGATGGGACATCACACCTAGAATTAGAACCATTAAAAGAAAATTGTTGAGGGAAGGTTGTACTTGGGCTGTTGAAGGGAATGGGACTAGGAGGGAATGTTCTTGTAGGAGAGGTGGAATTTAAATTGTATACCCTGCTGTCATGCCATTACTGCAAAGTACTCAAGTGATATATATTAATTACAAAGATGGTATGGCACATTGGTATAAAAGGCATACGTACTTACAAGCTTACAAATATCCAGGATTGCATCAAAGGGATTGAGACATGGAAAGTTACACTAGGGTTTAAGGCTAGATCCGCCACCATTCACATAAAAACAAAGGCAAACTAAAAATAAAGAGGATCGAACTAAAACATGAGACAAAGAAAGTTAACGAAGGGGATGTGGAAAAGTTGTCCAATAAATTATGATGTTTTTTTTAATACATTGGAAGGTTAGTTGCTTGACATTGCAAAGGTTTGATCCCTTCACCTTAACTCTAAATCAATGTTTTGTAGTTAATATGGATATCAATTCAACTAAGTTCTTATTGGAAATAAATTATGGTTATTATATGACATTAATTCATTGATTGAACAATTAGTTCAGCAGTATGTTTTCATTTGGTTCAATTAATTAACCGACCAATTATGGTTATTGTATGACAGTAAGAAGTCAAACCTTAAAACAATTCTATCTAACAGTTTCAAAACCAGCGTTCCCCATTCAGGCAAATTTGACATACACCTGATGGGCATGGCTTAATGTAGCTCCAATTCTTTTAGACAGTAAAACATCAAACTAGTAAAAAGTGAGACACAGAGCATATCTAGAAGAAACAACACATGCTCATATTTGTTTTATTTTACAACTTATTATAAATTAAATGAAACTTTTTGAACAAAAGTACATCACAATAGCAATTTCTTCTTTTTCATTAATGCTACGAATATCCCCAAATCCCTGAAATTTAACGCAAGCTTCCATATCAGAAAAATCTTCCAAACCTCCATGCTTCACCACTTGAGCTTTGCGGGGAAATACTGCAATCCAATTTCACATATAGACTTTTAGGAAAAATGAAAAAAAGAGATGGAAGAGACTGCCCAGGTTAAAGAAATAAAAACAGTTATCTAGCAAGTCTACTAAGTAACTAATTAATTACCTTTTCAATGAGGGAAAGATAGTAGGGCTTGGCTGCTTCGACATCAATGAGAACTTTGCTCTTGCTGTAAAGGTCATATTTGCTGCAGAATATTTAAAAATTAAAAGTAATACTACGGTTTTCTCAAAAAAATAAAAAGTATTACTACGGTTAGTGCATAATATATAAACTTATTGTAGTTTTTTAATCTGAATTGACCAAAAAGATATTAGTTGGCTATTTCTAACCAAAATGCAGTTAGTGATCCGTGTGAGCCTCATTATTAACGACATACATTTTAGTCATTACAGAACTAACACTTTTCTTAGTCAATTGGAAAGTAATATATTTGATATAATGCAAACCAAAATGTAAGAGAAATCATAGAAGAATACTTGAATATCTTGAGCCATTTCAGATCCTCCTTATCCTGATCATTGAGAAGATGCATGTAGGCTCCTTCCTTATGCAAGGCTGCAATGTAAATAGAATAGTTTTGGTTAAGGTATCAATCGGACACACTATACATTTTCAAGAAAATTAATGAATTTACAAAGCTTACGATAGAAGGAGTGATATCGGATAATGAACAGCCCTGCTGAAGGTAAAGTTGTTCCATTTCCTTTTGCAACCTACAGATTGTTGAGCAAGTGATATTTTCAGCGAAAGATTTCCCTCATTTGATTGCATTATTAATAATTAAGATTAATGTAATGTTTTGGAGCAACAATTACCAGGTACATATAGTCATCATGCCCCCATGATATCATCACACTGTCAAGTCCACATCCTTCAGTGTAAATTCCATTCTTTGTGCTGTATGCTGGATTATTAAAATCAGGATTTTCCTTGAAATACTAAAATCCAAAAAAAAAAAATTACATTTTATTTTTAGTTGATTGTATGCAATCGTATTTATAATTTTGATTTAATCACGTATCATAAATTCTTGAGAGAAAAAAGACCTTATGGTGAATGTTAGCCTCATCAAAAGCACATCCAAGAGGGAATGTGTCACCTGCAACATTAATAATATTTAACACTTAATTGAAATTTACTAAATATCGAAAAAATAATAAAAAAGAACCACATCTCACCAACAACAGCCCATTGTGGAAGCCCTCCAAATTGAGGCAGAATAAGAACCTTTCCAAGATCTGAAAACCACTAAAAAATTTCATTAATATTAATCAATTAGCTAATTAATTTCATATATATATATATATGTATTTATTTTCATGATTTTCTCTAAATGGGTATGAATGGAATAACAATAAGATCAATATTATCCATGAAGACCATGACTCTTTAGTGGGGTATGCTGATGCTCCATGGTTTGATTTAGTCAGAGCCTAGCTAATTTTGATTAGATAAGAATTAATGTTGAGATTTTTTTTTAATAATATGGGTGTTTAAGTCCAATAGTAATACTTGCCAACTATTGTATCCATAAAGATTGGATAAAACTCTAACGGGTGGGATTTAAATTGTCTCCTTTTATCATTATCAAAGAAAAAAATTTTGAACTGAATTGAGAATATACCATGAATAAGAGCAGTCAATTGTAGCCAGTCTTCATCAGGGTAATCTTTCCGAATGGCTTCAGCAGATTGCAGCAAATGCTGAATCTGAGGCTCATCCAAATCAGGATCACTGTCATCCACCACCTCATTCAGGAGCTCACAACATTCCCATACGCTCATTTCCATCCTGTTCAATTTCGAGTACTCTTCCCTCATCCTTTTCACCTGCCAATTCACATTCAACATTTCAACTTCCAAACTCAACGTATTAATCAAATCAGTAAATATTTTGCTTACGAAATCATATGTTTGGTTAATGTGTTGCGTTCGGTAGAATTCCTCCACAATCTTTTGCCTTTCACCTACATTGTAATCTCTGCAAACTTTTTCCGTTGAAGATTTTCCTTCGCAAGATAACCAAACATAACCCAATTCAGAAGTTGAGATTGAGATTTTATCGAACCTAAAAGTGTGGCCGTAAGAATTGATTTCTGGGGTAACAAATCCATCATTTGACACAGACTTTCGCACCGAGAATCCACCGTCCAAGACCAGCTCGTTCGTTTCCTCCACATGCTTCTGCTCCTCTGCTTCTAATCATGTTAAAATTGACAAGACATGAACGTCAGTCTTTTATTAACATAATAAAATATCAAATAGTGAGTAACAAGGAAAATCAAGATCTTTTAAGAATATATTAATTAATTGGAGACTTTAAGTTAATAATCCTTTGATTAAATCTTAAAAAATTTACATGTACAAAAAAAGAAAAAAAAAAAAACACTAAGAAAATTGAGAAAAGGAAAGCAATGAAAAGCACATACCAAGATCAGCAGGATTTTCAATGAGGGCAGTCATTTCCACGGTAATAAAATGGGAGGGAATCAGAAGGAGAATTTAGATGGATTGGGTTTGGGTTGTTGATACTACGAGGGGGATTTATAGTATCCAAAAAAAATCCTTCCTCCAAAATAGAAATGATTGTTGTCCTTATAATTAAGAGCAGTGCTAGGGGCACTCGCCTCCTGCACTCTCCGGCCAACACTCCCTCTTTCATTGGGCCACATAAGGTTGTTTAGCTCTGAAATGAACCTCTTTTCGAACTAAAATAACGTGGCCCAATGAAAGGAGGAGTGTTGGCCGGAGAGTGCAG